GCTAGCCCACTGCTTGCCCCTTTTGTGCCCATTGCTTGCTCCCCGTTTGCCCATCACATGCCCCTTGTGTACCTGCTGCTTGCCCTGTTTGCCCATCACATGCTGTTTGCATGCCCGCTGCTTGCCTATTGCTTGTCCACTACTTGCCCCCTGCTTTCCTTCTGCTTGCCCACTGATTGCCCCATTTGCCCATCACATGCCCCTTGTGTGGCCTTTGCTTGCCCTTTACTTGCCCCCTGTGTACCCCTCATGTGCCCATTGCTAGCCCACTACTTGCCCCCTGCTTGCCCACTGCATACCCTTTATGTTCCCAGTGCTTGCCCCCTGCTTGCCCACTGTGCACCCCTTATGTGCCCAGTGCTTGCCCTCTACTAGCCCATTGCTAGCCCACTGCTTGCCCCTTGTGTGCCCACTGCATACCCTTTATGTGCCCAGTGCTTGCCCCCTGCTTGCCCACTGTGCACCCCTTATGTGCCCAGTGCTTGCCCCTTATGTGCCCCCTGCTTGCCCACTCCATACCCTTTATGTGCCCAGTGCTTGCCCCCCAATGCTTGCCCATTGATTGCCCACTACTTGCCCTCTACTAGCCCACTGCTCACCCCTTGTGTGCCCACTACTTGCTCCCTGCTTGCCCACTGTGCACCCCTTATGTGCCCAGTGCTTGCCCCCTGCTAGCCCAATGCTTGCCCCTTATGTGCCCCCTGCTTGCCCACTCCATACCCTTTATGTGCCCAGAGCTTGCCCTCTACTCGCTCATTGCTTGCCCACTGCTTGCCCCTTGTGTGCCCAATGCTTGCCCATTGATTGCCCACTACTTGCCCTCTACTAGCCCGTTGCTAACCCACTGCTCACCCCTTGTGTGCCCACTACTTGCCCCCCGCTTGCCCGTCCCCTACCCTTTATGTGCCCAATGCTTGCCCCCTGCTAGCCCAGTGCTTGCCCCTTGTATGCCTACTACTTGCCCCCTGCTTGCCCACTCCATACCCTTTATGTGCCCAGTGCTTGCCCTCTACTAGCCCATTGCTAGTCCACTGCTTGCCCATTGATTGCCCACTACTTGCCCTCTACTAGCCCACTGCTTGCCCACTGCTCACCCCTTGTGTGTCCACTACTTGCCCCCTGCTTACCCACTGTGTACCGCTCACATGCCCAGTGCTTGCCCTCTACTAGCCCCCTGCTAGCCCAGTGCTTGCCCCTTATGTGCCCACTACTTGCCCCAATCTTGCCCATCTCATACCCACTCCTCGCCCCCCCTGCGTGGCCACTGCTTGCCCCCCACAGGCAGCCCCTGACCCCCCTCGCCCACCTCAGGGTGCAGCTGGCCGTGAACCGCCGGACGGAGGAGGCCGTGGCCGTCAAGATCGTGGACCTGAAGCGGGCGGCCGAGGGCCCCGAGAACATCAAGAAGGAGATCTGCATCCACA